GTGATGCTGTCTATGTGCGCGATTATCGACCGAGGAACAGAAAATGGGCCGAAGGCTTGATAGAACGTCGACATGGAACTCTAATGTACAAGGTTAAAGTTGGGGATGAATGGTGGATTAGACATAAAAATCAGATACGACGTCGATATACTACATCCCAAGAACCTAAATTGCCACTGGAATTACTACTGGAAACTTTCAAAATACCACCAGTCAAACCAGAAGCAAAACAAGAGATGCTACCCAGCCGACGATCCCAGCGCAAACGAACACAAACAGTTCATTTCCAAGTCGACCCCAAGGAAAAAAGATACTAAACTGATTGCAAGATTCTTTTTAAAAGGGGGAGGTAATATATACGCAGGTGAATCATTAATATTCATTATTTATTTCACACACTAGCATAATCATTGATTTCACGCATCTGCGTGATTATTGATCTAAATTACTGAATTCCAGGGTTTGTTAATATTTTTAAAATGTGACATTGATTTTTCTAATTGTATAAATACGGAGTTGTTGTTTAACATTTTCGACTGTTGTTTGAGATAGTAAAAGCTCTCATATCAACCTCCAGTCTTCTCTTTCTTTGTCTTGCGTGCCCGGCGGTATTATTGTTGTTGTTGTTGACGTGCGATTAGGACAGATTAGCCAGCGCATTAGTTAGATTCGCTCGTAGTCTACAAGGTCCTCATATTCACATACATAACAAAGGGTTGTTTTATTTGGTAGGAACAAAGGTGGGACGGTATAACTGATTGCATGGATAAGAAACATCATTTGGCCAGTATTCACATATTTTGAAATGAAATACAGTCGGTAAAAGTATTACTACTAATTTAGTGAGCAACTGAAGTTGTCTTTGAATAAGACTAAAAGTAAACTGCTTGTCGATAGGCTAAGTGATTATTATTCCATAACGTAAGAATAAGTGCATCCAAATACTACCACACGCATGATCCTGTCTTCTGAATAACCCAGGGAACATGGTGTTTATTCCAAGCTTTGGATTACCAAGTAAAAGTGGGTATTCTTTAAGGTTTCCTGATACAAAGAGTATGTTGTAGCCAAAGTACGTAAATATGTTCACATCTAGAAAATATTTAGCTTTGTTGTTGTGCTTCCTCCCACCACAACACCAGCTGACTCACCAGTTAGGTCACAAGGTAAAACTAGACCTACCGGAGACAGTGTACTCCTGACTTCTAGATATCGTAGTATCCTGTGAAGGGAGAACAATATCCACAGGTTTATAAGATTAGACGCATGATATAATTCAAAACTAGATAACTGTGGTTTGCAGACATAGAACACACCAATCTATTCCTTTAATCGAGTCAGTCGATGTGACCCTAGCGAAGACTAGAGGAGGGACACTACTTGTCTTAAGAAAATCCATTTAAAGTGTTCCTTAGAAATTATGTAGATTCCGTAATTATAGGTAAACTAGGAAACGCGCTAAGCCATTACATTTATACGAGCAGTAATCGGGAGTGAAAAGGAGGGTCGATTGAAGGGAATACCCTCCCGATATAGCATGGAGTTAACATGAAGTAACACATAACTACACTAGAATTCCCCAGTTTACAGGTAGATTACACTTTTAATAATATCATTGTCTCCACTTTTGGTTGAAAAAGTAATTGGATTATGTCACAGATGCTTTTGGCTGGATCCGTCAATGCCAGATACTGTGAGCTCTGAAATTTCAGTCAAGAAACTCTGCAGGGAGATACTGTAGCTTCACCGACAATTGAACGGAAGCATTTCACTTATACAAGATGCATACAGTAATGAATACACTATTAAATTAATGCGCTCAGGTCCACATTACTTCAGTAATTTTCTTGTTTGAGAATGAAAGACGTACATATGTATTGTGTCAGTAACTGCAAATACACGTCAACATCTAAATTTCATACGCCTTCTGTCTCACTATTGCATATAATGATAGTCTGATAGTCATTTACGAATGCAGTAAAAAGTATTTCGCAGACCACGAGTAGCACTTCGTACTAAGCAGAAGTATCAGCATTTAGTGAAAGTATTTTCGGGAACTAGTACGACGAGGTAAACGTTTTTCCAATATATACGCACTTATCAACGCAATCAAAAGGTAATGACGAATTGTTATCCCAAACATTGTATTTACTGTGAAGGGAATGTTGTTACAAGCAAACTTCACAGCAACATGTACAAGTGTTGCATATCACTGCATCAATGATATAAGCATACTAATTGTACTACGGCTCAATCTGAATAATCTCAAGGCGTCGAAACAACAACTTTGAGGGAAGTAGATGTAATGAAAGACTCCTTGCAGACGCTATGTATGACGGTATCTAGTGGAATGTCTACGAAGACTGATAACCTGCAATGAGGAAGATAGAAATGAAACAATTAGGAGATACGTAATACATAAGTTAAGTACTTTTGTCCCTCATGTACAAAATGAGAATATACTGTTATTTATTTATTTATATAAAAAATCACTCATGAAATTCACTCCTATTCACACTATTTCTTGTATCCGTGTTAATGACTGCTGGTTCATGGTTTCTTCTTCTGTGCACTTTATCTGGATAATTTAAGGAATTGGTTAAATGTACTGAGGAAACGTCATTGACAGTTATTTAAACCAATTAACAATATAGCTAGTTGTGACACTAGGCAGCTGCAGCGACAAATGCTGACTGACTGAGTTTTAACATAGAACACAGCACAGAAGGGTAGCAGCTCGATTTGTTACTTTCCAAACTTGAAATATACTATATCTAGTTGGTAAAAAGGCAAAAAATTCATCACATATTTCGATTTAGTATTTAGGCTATGGGATGAAATAAACTAACTCATGAGGTATGACGGGACAAAGTGTGAAACTTATCTTGGGTAAGAGGAGAGATTATTGTAAGATAGCTCTGTTTTTCCAGTTAGAAAAGAACCAACTGAGGAAATACCATTACCATTTGTTGATATATCGGTGATTACTATCCACTTTTTAACATTTTTGTATACCTAGGCTCTATATCATTCTGACTGACTCACTTGCAACATTAAAGCTTGCGCACAAGTGCACCTGTTGAAGTTACCACATTCAATGTAGCACACAATGCTAGAAAAAAATGAAATTAAATGGAACCCTAACGAGCATAAATATGAGGTAGGCTAAATAATGACAGAGACAAAACTTAAGGGTTGATTAGATACGTCAGATTACACGGAGTGAATGCATCTTTGTCACTGACAACGATTTGGAGTCACATCTACTTGACACAGTACGCTTAAGTCCAGTATTACTCATCATATTATACTACTTAACATATGGGACAGGGCAGAGATACCTACCACCAAACGGTAATAGTATTTTCAAATTTTCCAGATCCAGTAGTCACTTCTCATTACTTAGGTGGACGATATCATCAGCATACTCCAAGTTGAAACTGTTTCCTGGTAAACCCGTAAAGTCAATGGCAGACAATTCTATGAATATATGTATGATGAAATTGAACTAAAATCAGGACGACAGTTGTAGAAATGAGCCTTATATTACACCCATCTTAGGAAATGTGACTCTCTTCATAGTTTAGTTTCAGTATTTAGTGAATAGAATGCAATCTGGAGAATTCATGAAATTAACCATACAGTAAGTGTGTAGGTTTTAGTAAAACATATGCACTTTTGATTTCATTATGAAGTCTCCATGCCAGACGTATTACTGTAATGGCCAACATAGTTCACAAATTAACTCATAATAGTGAAGCGGAAAGACTTATATTTCTCCTCAGTAGATTCAAAATAGAGAGTCTTGTGAAGTAATTCCTGTGTTAGCAACTTTCTTATGCAGAAGAGAGGAGCAAGGCATCATAATGTTTTGCTATATGTGGAATCGCAGTGCAGCTAGATGCGCAATAATATTTATACGAATAAACTGAATAATAAAATCTTCTTCACCCTCTGAACAACTTGTCCTTATTCCTAATAAGATAATAAGTTTCTTTCACATATGAGTCTGAGTTATTCTTATGAAATCGGAATATTATAGGAATTAAATCTTCCACTAAAACCAAGACCACTTGAAACCCATAGCAACATAGCAACAAGCATCATAGCGGGATATGCAATAAAGCCACTCGTTCACAACAGTGCTGCATATTATGCTCGTAGTGCTCAAGCTCTTTGTCTTAAAATGAAAATCTGACTGCGATAAGTACATGAAAATTGAAATTAATGCTGTAATTGTGCCATGAATACTAACAACTACCAAACCAGCTAAGACAAGAGCGTTTCAATAAATAGGCCGAGTATACCAGAATGACTGCATAAAAACTCAAAAATATACATTTATATTTTGAACTTGGTATGTTATTTTGTCCACCACGTTTCACATATATCAGTGTTAAGCGACATTTCCTGATGCAACTGCAGCAAATTTAACGCAGTTCAATTACATTATGAGACCAATATTATGTACATCATAAAAGTTTTTAATGCAAAATTTCATTTAAAAATCACATAAAGACATAACTTGTCACCAGGTCACCATAGCAATGGACTACAACGCTAAAATCAGCGTGGATATACAATATAGCCTGTCATCGATGTGTATCTTGACTTGAAGCGACCAAACTGATTTAACTCTTCAGCCCATGGCAATCCGAAACAGTATCTTTTTTGAAGGAAGGGGCCTAGTACTGCATTCAGGTGCTCAAACACCACTTGGACAGGATCTAAAAGGTGTATGCTCAAAAGAAAACTTTCAAAAACATTCAACGTTTCCAGAAGCAGTCACTGTCATTTCAGTGCAGTATTTATACAGTGAATGAACAAATTTTCTGTTGTTAGTTACTGATTTGACTAGCGAGACCACAAACAATATTTGTAACCTATTTATATCTTTTCAGCATTTCATCGTCCTGAATTGTTTACCCGCTCTCCTTGTTAGAATCCTAGTTTTTGTGCTTCATGACTTATTAGCATACTATGTTTAAGCCCCAATGAGTAATGGTTTCCAAGATTGTTAATCTTTATACAGATTCCGTTTCATAAATCATCCTTCTTACAAAATATAAAGTTTCAGTTGTGAAGTGAGACTGTAATTCTTTTATACTACTATACAATGAATTATTCACTAAAGGTAAAAGAATAGAATACACATCAGCAAAATTTCGTTAGGTGTACTGACTCACTTAGCTGATCACTTCCAACTAACTTGTTTATCCATCTCTCATGTAAATTTAACTTCTACATCCATATTATTTACCATGAAATCGCTGGAAAACGATTTCACTGTAATTTTGTTTAACTGTACCGCTTAACGAGTGACCTCTGTGGGCACTTGTTACAAAATTTCTTTCCTATGTTTGTTATTTCCGTGTTTTCCATCTTTTTCTCCATTATTTTCCATGCTGCAGTGGATAAAGCTGCAAAATGTGTGAACCCTTTGTCCCATGAGCTGTCCGAAGTTAAAGATTCAAAGCCGAAGTATGTTTTTAGGCAGTACTTTGTTTGGCAAAACTCATGCATATCATTTGTACACGCGTTGGTATCCGGTGTTTGGTCTTTGTCAGCGTACGTTGCCCATAATAATCTTCAATTGCCTTCAGGTTTTACTTCGAGCCTAACACCTTGACGGACCTGATCAACGAATTCTCAGGATATACCGTCTCACTAGTATCCTACTCTCTTGGTAATTGAGCTTTTTACAACAGTGATGTTTAGGTTATTTCATTTTTGACTCAGTACATATGGCTGTCTTACATCCCCACCGATCAACAGCGGAGTTACTGATTCACCACTTCATTGTAAGTACATAGATGTTATGGGATTGTTTTTAGATATTTTTGTGTTTCTCATCTGCTTTGTTGTCAGGAAAGTACATCGGATACGCAGTTGTTTCACTTCTTCCTGAAGTCAACTCAATATTTCTGCATTTGCGACGGCTAATGAATTATCTGCGTGTCCCTAAAGACAACCACTTCTTTCGATCTATTTGTCTAGTGAATATTGGTAAGCTCGCATTTTTAAGATCAAATATGTTTTTATCCCAGATATTTTGTAGGATAGTGTTTAAGTTTTGGTCTATGTTTATTCCAACAAAGTCGTTCGGTTTTGAAACTGATTCTCTCTAATAACCTATTTAAGAATAGATTAGACAAACACACATACTGTTAGAATTGTATTAGCAACTATAAAGATACCACAGCGAAATGACGCTCAGTTGGGCAGTCATATCGTTTACCTTTCATAGTTAACTTACGTATTCAGGCTCTCTTATCCTGTCAATAAAACACCTATAAGGAACTGGGATATATTTTACCACCCAGCAGACTCTTGCTGTGACTTATTCTTCGGAAATAGTCACAGGTGTAATAGGACTGGAAGTAATAACATTTTCGATCGGGTTAGGATGTAGCATCAGATTTGATATAGTTAGTATTATAGCAGAATAAAATAATGGTAGAACAGTAAAGGGTATCCCAAGGACGAAGATTAGAATTTTATGAAAGTGAAAAAGGCTAGGAACCTGACTTGCGGATCGTGAAAGGACAGAATAATTTACAGTGGTAAGCAAAGAAAACAGGTTACTAAGACAGTGAAATGTGGACCACAGAATCTTTTTGAACGCATAGGTTGGTTTTCAGTTAACGTACTGCCACATAACGTAGCTATTACTCTGTTTACCATGTGATAAACTGTTGTAGAATCGGTTACATGACCTGTATCAGAGATATGTTTACTACTATCGCTATTACGTATTCTTATACCTCCTGGTGATAACCTTTTCGTCATATCTTTGTATATCTTTTCGCAAAAGCATACTGTTCTTCCAACATTCCGTCTACTATGAATACAGTTGGGTAAATTCATACGACTGAAGATAACATGAAGGTATCCCATACCCCTGAAAATTTTTCCTGTTTTGTAGACTCCTATTTAAGTAGCAACATTCAAAAGTGGTGAGATGATTTCGCAAAATTATCGTCGACTGCATGTATTAGCCTCATTAACCTTTTGTTTTGCAAAATTAACACTAGTTTGCATTTTGGTAGTACTTTATTTCGTCCTGAAGTTATCTTAAATGTATTTTATTCAATGAAATTGTCTTAAACAGGTTGTAATTAACGAATAGGTTGAATATTTTGCTACAGTTAAACATTGGTTTGAAACAAACCTGAAGGTAATTATTAATTTACTCTATAAGTGCAAAAAAGTATCGCATGTATCTGCAGAACTACGGAATTAAAGTCTCTTGCAACTGTAAAATACTTCATACTATGGCTCATGGATCGGTTTTTTATCCTCTTAGTGGAAGTAACAGTTCATGGTATGACGACACGCTCTACCACTTCACTCCTCCCTCCTTATCTTTAAGCTAGGAGGTAGTGTAGTCCAGTCCTGTAGCACCACTTTATATTTGACAGTAGAGAATCGCATGCCAAACATTCGAGGATCGCTGCTCAAGGTGTTCGGCATCTTTACTCAGGAGGACAACGTCATCCGCATATTTTAAGTCAACAAGACTATTCCATAGTAACAAGTCTATCCCTGAGTCGCTGAAGTCATTTTGAGCTAATTCCATTGCTACATCTATGATGAGACTAATGAGAAATGGGGACAGTGGGCATCCCTGATGGACATCACTAGTTGGTTGTCATTACTTCAGATGACAACTCTCCGTAGGCTCTTACCCAGATGCGTGAGTTCGAATACAGTGCCTTAATCAGTGCGATGTATCTTCTCGACATTCCCTTCATGGCTAGACATTACCATACTACCTGTTGGTAGACGGAATGGAATTCCACTTTCAGGTCAAAATATATGGCAGTTATTGGATACCGATGATTATGCCTATGTTGGAGAAACTGTCGAAGGGTGAAGATATAATCAGTGCAGCCTCTCCCTAGTCTAAAGCCTGCCTGATTTTCTCGTGTGTTTCTCACGAGCGCCACTTAATTTACGCATGATTATTGAGCCTAGGACTTAAGACATTATATTAGTTGATCTAATCTCTCTATGACTATTATGTCTCCCTTCTTATATACCTGGATAATCAGTGACTTAAACCAATCCAACTGGGTTATCTCTGCATCCCGGACGTTCCTTAATACGTTAGTTAACTCAGACAGTAAATTGTCTCCACCGTTCTTGAATACATTTGGTTTAATTGCATCAGGTCCCGCTGCTTTTTCTCGTCTCAAATCATGAACAGCTTTTGTAACCTCAGTTAAGGAAGAAGGGCCTGTAATTTATATTCCATTCAGGTAGGTGTCTGATGGTGGACAGGTTGAACGTGTCTGTAGGCCAGTTAAGTTGTTCCCCTAAATGTTGCTTCCAACGTTCCAGTCGTTTACCCTGAGAGCTGAGTAGGTCACCATTTTTCCCCGAGATTGTCTCACTTATCATTTGCTTTTTGCCACCTGTATCTCTGATAAACCTAAATAGTTGTCTGGTGTTACTTACCGCCGATGCCTTTTCCATTTTCTTTCACTTCTGTTGCCCACTTTTGTTCATGGTCATTGCGAAGACTTTTTGTCGTTCGCGTTTGAACGGTTTTCGCTCTTCATCATATGCAGAGCCTTCTGAAATCAATCTTCTCGCGTCTGTCAGATAGGACAAAGTAGCGAAAATCCTCTTTTTGTTTGTTGACAGCCTTTACAATTATGTCTGCAGCTGACTGGATATTCTGTCAGGCTTCTTCAGGATGAGTTTTGTTTTTGATCTCAGGTACGCATTTAGCTATTTCTTCCTTAAATAGGGACTCAGTATCCTGATCAAGTTGGGTGCGTAGCAGATTCATTGCTGACTGTTTTTTATGTTCATTCAATCTTATACGTAAACGTGCACGGACCAGGGGAAGAGGTTATGCGATTGTAAGTAGATGTGTGACAAGAAAAATTAATATATGTTTATAAAAAAATCAGTTAAATCGACTTATAATGTCTGTATGATGTTTATCTGACTTAAAACGGAGTGGATAGTATTTCAACACCGATCCTGAGAACAGTGTTGCATTAGCAGGTTTTCTTACTCAATACCTTGGTTTATCACTATAGTTCTACTAACGAACATATTATTTTTCGTAATACCATGTTTTATTCCATCTCGGACTATCAAAAGAAGCTTTTCGTTTACCTAATACTGAAACGTCATTATCAGGCGACCGGAGATAAGCTCGCGCGCTTATCATCTCGACTACTTTTAAAATACGTGGTAGTTTCGATGGATAGTAGGGAGTAGGAGATGTGACATCTCTTATCCATATCCACTAGTGTTCATCTGCCTTCCTTCTGTCGTATCGCTTTTGAACCCCCCCCCCTTACACTAGTATGGTGTTTAAGCATCATAGATTACATTTCTGCTGCTTTTTAAAAATTTGTATACTTAACCAGTTCTATACTTGTACCAAAAATATGGTGTGGAATCAATCTATAATCAAAAAAGAAAGTTAAGTCTCCATTTTTATAATGGTTTCAAAGCTTCCTCTATTCTTAAGAAATGTATTCATGAGAATGAGAAATTGAAGCGTAATTCAACAACCATTTATTCATTCAAAACCTCAGTAAGTGTACAGCCACTGTTGGCCACCACCGCTTCACTGTATGCATGTTTAAACAGTCTGGTAGTCAAAGCACAAAAATGTTAGACAGTAAGTGTAAGTTATAGATGTCCAAACTGAGTTTACTTTTAACATTTTGAAAAAAACTGGGCATCAGGTATATAATATGATAATAAAGGGTTTTGTATTTCCCAACGAATGAGAAACAAAACGACATGGTTGTTTTTACTGACGTTTCGCTATTTAATGCTGCTAATAGCTTTATCAAAGTATTATTAAACCAGAATTTATAAAATCTCAGCTGACATATAACAACTTAATCATCGTTCCTCGACCACCGAGAAATCCATTTGAACTAGAAAAGCTTGAAAAATCATCAGCCATTGGTCTACACGCTATAGAATCAGGTCACAAAATTGATTTTTACAGTACTGAAATAATGCAGAAAAACTTCAGAAATAACAAAGAACGCCTAATATCAGAAGCACTTCATTTTAAATGGAATCCAAATTGTCTGATAAATAGGAATGATGAACTAAAACAGAAATTGACCTGGTTACAACACCCTCTTTCCTCCATGAAATGACAAAATCAACATGAATGTGATCACCAATTTCATTATGTAAACACTTGCTCCTTTAATTATTTTACACAGTTATCAAATCCAACAATTTTCACCTGGTTTTTCTGTCTTTATCAGTCGGCCAACCTGACAGCGTAAAAATCCGTGGAAAATACCCACCCAGGTATGAATATAAGGCATGAATAAGAACGCCAGAGTTCAGTGAAGAGTCTCTTTTCTGCGAATTCATTCAATTACCTGTACAACCGCATTTATACATAATTATTTTGTGTGTGTGTATGTGTGCCTAAATTAAGATTTTCAAGTATTGGTTTTGTAGGGATTTTGTTTGATTGCATGGAGGATTTCATCATGAGGTGTTCAGTACTCCCAGGTTTTCCAGCGAATCTCTAACTGATGTCAGCTCATGATGAAATCCTCCATACATTAGTATTGTCAAACTAAAATAAAATATAATTACTCAGGGTTACTATTCACGTCATCAAAATATTTCTGAAATGTGACGAATAATCAAAATTTGACTAGGGTTGGGGCAGGGGGTGAAGATTAGTAAGTATTGACAAGGGCTGCGTAATATGGGATAGGATTTTAATGGAGACACATTCCAAAAAGTAAATTACGTAATAGGTAGAAAGAGTAAATAAAGATGTTACCAGGGTGCCATACAAAATTCAAAAAACAAAACAGTATTAACGAAGTCGTAACACTTGGAATTGTACCGAAGGTAGAATGGGGGGATGAAGTTTCTTCTGTGTGAATCAACCAGGGTTTTCTTTTTGGATCGCTAAGGCCTTGGCAATGCAAAGTATACGGAAGCTTACCTACCGCTTTTGGGAGGTTTCTTTTCACTTTGTAGATGACTTTGAATGAATTCTCTGTGCATATTAAGTGACCAGTGTTGACTATAATGTTCAATCATAGTACTCTTTATTGATTCACTGAGTGATCCACGAGCCATATATCTCGCTCGCTTCACATGAGCAAGTAAATTGGTAGATACACATATAGAAGTGGTCATATGTGATAGTTTATCTTTAAAGTTGTTGAAGGACATTGGCTGGCTTGAGAATACCAATCGTAATGTAGCAGCAGGGAGTGTTCTTTTCAGGGTGTAAAAATTACCCCATGCTGAGGAACGATCATTAAGTTGTTATATATATAAGCTGAGGTCGTATAAACTCTAGTTTAATAATACTTTGATAAAGCTATTAGCAGCAGCATTAAATAGCGAAATGTCAGTAAAAAAACAACCATGTCGTTTTGTTTCTCATTCGTTGGGAAATACAAAAAACCTTTGTTATAATGAATAAGTATAAGTATCTTTCTTCACGTTATTTCAAACATTTTCCTTAGTTTCGAAATTGGTGCTATATTACAGTAAAATTGTTTATTATATTCAACGTTAGAAGTGCGTCGATGGCATAGCGGTTAGGATGCTCGCCTACCATGCACATGGTCCGGGGTTCGCTCCCCGGCCGACGCACTCCTTTACCTCGCTAAGCCAGAAATTATGCTGGTGAAGAGGAAATGTTGGGCATGAGGCTAGCAATCCCATCCTGTAAAAATAAAACACTGCTACAGAAACTTCAAGCCACTAGCTTGAGGCCCTATGTTCCTTTGGGAATGTGAAGGAAAGAAAAAAAAATGTTAGAATAAATTATTGGATAAATGCAGTCTAATTATTACATAATCCAATCGTTTTCACATTATCTTGAGTATTAATGAACACTAGTTTAAATAAAACCTTATCTAGAAGAAATCATCAAATAGTTATAAAACATAAAACAACACACAACATAAATAATGTTTTAAAGTAGATATTTTTTTTATTTCATAAAATTCATTTATTTATTTATCTTTCTAGGTACATTTATTGTATTCCGTTTTATTGTCCTCTCATGGATGACACGATGGATTGTTATTAATCGTGATTCTATTCCATTTGGATATTATTGTCTTGGTTCTGTTGGTCTCGCTATTCTAATGGTTATGAATATTGTATTATTTATTCGAATTGTATATGCAGATTTTCTTACAAATAGTACAGTGTCTAGTGCAGCTTCAATGGTTGCTTCAGCTGGTACTGGAACCAGTACAAGCGGTAAACCTCATCTTACAGTACACTCATCTTACATGTCTACACATTAGAAAGAGAATAAAAAAAAAGAGAAAAGCATTTGTTTTCATTTTCGGACTATTTTTATGATGGAATATCTTTTCAATTCTTATTATGCTTTTGTATTTATATTTGGAAACTATTTATCGACTGTAAAAAAAAAAAGAATAATGTTTTTCTTCTCATTTTTATTGTATATAAAAAGCATCATGGGCTAAATTTTCATGTTCCTGTCAAGATAATTATGAAATCCAATCTCAGGTATTTAGTGCTTTTCTTTGTTGTTTTTTTATTTAGCGCTTTAAATTGTATTGTTGTCAGTGCATTTTGATACTGTACTATTCTTGCTTCTGTACTTCTTTTTCTGTCCAGCCTTCAGAAACTTCTTAACAAATTTCTATAATGTTCTATCTGTGATATTAATTCGACATGATTATTATTATTATTATTATATCAATAAAATCAGTTGGCTTTTTTGTAGTATGTATTTTGGTTTTATGTGCGTCGGTGGCATAGTGGTTAGGACGCTCACCGACCATGCACATGGTCCGGGGTTCGATCCCCGGCTGACGCACTCCTTTACCTCGCTAAGTCAGAAATAACGCTGGTGAAGAGGAAAGGTTGGGGGGCATGAGGCTAGCAACTCCATCCTGGAAAATAAACACTGCTACAGAAACTTCAAGCCACTAGCTTGAAGCCCTTTGTTCCACTGGGGAACTTGAAGGAAAAAAAATTTGGTTTTGTGTATAACTATTGCACAAAGACTATAGCTAGGTGCAAGTTAACTTTTAGATGTTCAGTGGAGTTGTGGCGTATTAGTGTTGTTGTTTTTAAAAAGAGTTTGACCACGTTTCGATATCAGTTAGAGAACATTGAAACCCCGGGGAGTACTGGACAGCTGTTTCATCCTAATTTTGCAATAACCGGCTGTACGTACTCACTGGGGCTCGAACCTAGAACCTTCGGGTTACAAGGCAAGCTCGTATACCATCCAGCCACTGGGACCGGTTCAATGACCCATGAATTCTAACTTCTACCAATTCGTGATTTAGTGTGATCAACCAGTACTTCCTGGTTTTCAATGGTTCTCTAACTGATATCAATCGGTGGTCAAACTCGCATAATCAAATCTAATCCTTACAAACCAAACTCTTGAAAATGTTGTTGTTTCCTCTTTTGGCCACGTAATGAACACATTTTCTCGAGTTTATAACTAGTTAAGAAAGTTATCTTTGTGTAAAATAAAGTTCAATGTTCAACTTTGCCTAAATTCTTTATATCCTACTTGTTAATAACTTTGTAACAGCAGAAGGCAAGACACAGACGCCAAGGTATATTTTCAAGTGATGAAACAGCTACTTATATCTAGGCAGTTTATATTCTTTAAGCAATCACTGAGCGTGTGATTTTGGTTTACTACATTAAACGACATGAAATAGAATGTTTAATTACATATATAGAGTATTCTATTGCTAATGCACTATTGAACTGTGAGAACAGTATTCAGACGTTAAAACCAACAAATACAATGATTCTTACTCGGAGAATAATATTCTGTTGCAATCCATTGTCTGTATCACACCACAAATTCAACCCTGCAAAGTGTTCTGTTATTTTCCCACTTTCCAATAAAATCCCTACTTAGAATTAAAAGCCAATTACTTTTCAGCTGTTAGGTTGGTAGTATTAGCGGTGTTCAGCAAAGATGCCTAGTGTTATCACATTCATTTAGATCTACTGATGGGGGTGGTTTGATGTCGGATTTCGTAAACTCAGAGCCAAAAAAATGACTATCTGTGATACCTAATTTTCACCTTTCCCAATACAAGGTAATATACTGCAAAAACTGGTCTGTAGCACTTAATTTCAGGGTGAGAAGTGCAATAAGTTGACTGTTTCACTTATTATTGAAGGGCTTACCAGCTGTAAATGACTTTATACATTTATATTCACTTTTATGAATTTGAATAAAGCGAAAGCGCAACAGTTTGTGCAGAGTACAAGATGGTACCATTTTTATTTATTTCGTTAGAATCTCGTCAGCTACTAACAGCCCCTCAGACATTATTAAGTTTATGTACAAAAAAATTTTAACATCCTTATACAGAAAGTTCAATATATGCATACAATGATAATAATAATAATAATGACTTTATCCCAAACAACAATAATGATCATAAACAATGGAATTTTTAAGCGTTATGTGATCAAATGAAGGAGAGAATAAAGACATCGAGTTACCAGGGCGGGCGAGAAAAGACTAATAACCGACTCTCTCTGAACACACAAATCGGGTTATAGATGCTTAATGGAGATTGGTTCCGCAAACTTAGGGAGAATTGAACTCATTTGGTTATCGATAATTTTGAATGATCTTGCGACGTCCACCTCATATCTCGTGTCAAGGAGATGTCTAGCAAAAGCACCGTTGAAAGCATTTGCTCCCTTGAGACGTAGGCTTTTCAGTACATGTTCAGAAAATCAATGACATGTGCAACTTCTTTCTGTTCGCCCAATGTAACTACTCCCACAAATACATGTAAATTTGTATACACAGTTGGAGTTAACATGAGAAGGGTATCTATCGAATTCTGACTGCATCAAAGGGCATGATTTCAGATAAACAGGAACCAACTTAGCTGTGGGATAGGCTGTGGCTAGTGACATATTCAGTCTTCTACTGACTATTGCTACAATATTTTCACCTTTAAAATCGAGTTGAATTGAGACAGGCATTTTTCTCAAACTAGAAAAAATGTAGATCACTGAATTGCATCTACTCCAATGGGGAATCACTGACTTACATTCTGCAAAGCCCTACTGTTTGGCTCTAGGTTTAGTATGGAAGTGGTGTTATGTATAGGTGAACAGTCCATGACAGGGAGGTGACATATCACTAAGACTCTATTGTTTTCACTATTTTTCTAATAAATATCAGATCCCTGACAGATGTAAGACCAGTTTAGAAATAAATGATGCACAGGGAATTCATGAATTTTAATGAGAATGAGGTAACTCTTGAATTAGTATCAAAGTATAGGAAAAGTAAAATGAATAATGACATATCATTAAACCTGAAGAAATAGAAGAGTAACCGTAGCCATTATTATTATTATTTCCTTTAGTTCCTAGAGGAACACAAGGCTTCAGCCGTGCGTCTCCATTGCGTTCGGTTCTCTGCTAGAGTCTTCACCTGGCTCCAAGTCTGCCCACACGCTTTCAATTCTTCTTCACATGATCTTCTCCAGGTCACCCTTGGACGACCAACTCGTCGCTTCCCTTTCGGGTTCCACTCGAGAGCTTGTCTAGTGATGTCACTTGCTGGTTTCCTCAGAGTGTGTCCAATCCATCTCCATTTCTTCCTGCCTATTTGTTTCACAATCGGTTCCTGGTTGGTTCGCTCCCAGAGATCTTTGTTGCTGATCCTTTCCGGCCATCTGATCTTGAGTATTGAGCGAAGACATCTGTTAATGAAGGTCTGTAGCTTGTTTGAGGTGCTCTTTGTGACACGCCAAGTCTCTGATCCGTATAGTAGTACTGACTTCACATTAGAGTTGAAAATCCAGATCTTATTTTTGACGCTGAATGCTGTTGACCTCCACACAGACTTGAGAGTAATGCCTTGCTTTCCCGATCCTTGCTTTGATATCTTCGTCAGTTCCGCCTGTAGTTGAAACAATGCTTCCCAAGTAGGTAAAGGAGGTAGTTTCTTTCAGGTTCCTTCCATTTATGCTGATTGCTGTCTGTTGTTGTTGCTGTGGCTGTTGGTGTTGGCCAGGAATCTTCATCACCTACCTCTGTTTTCTCTATGTTCACCTGAAGTCCTATCTTTGATGCTTCTTCTGCCAACTTGTTACTTTTCACTTGCATATCTTCCAGTTTGTGGGAAATCAGACATATATCATCGGCGAAGTCCAGATCCTCCAAGTTCTTTGTGTGAGTCCATTTTATGCCTGTTTCCTCATTTCCCGCTGTCTGTCGCATTATCCAATCTACTGCAATCAGGAAAATCATTGGCGATAGTAGGCAACCCTGTCTTACTCCTGTCTTCACTTCGAAGGATTCCGTGCGCTTCCCGTTGTGGATTACTTGGCATGCAGCGTTGTCATACAACTGTTGGATGAGATGTATAATTGTCGGCGGCACCCCGTAGTAGCGAAGTAGTTGCCGAATCACCTCTCGATCGACGTTGTGCTATCGAAGGCCTTTTCAAAGTCGATGAAGTTGAGGTAGAGAGGTGACTGCTATTCCAAACGTTGTTCAATGATGATCCGTAGTGTGGCGATTTGATCAATACATGACTTGTTTCTCCTGAATCCAGCCTGTTCCGGTCGAAGTTTTTCATCCAGGGCTTGTTTGATCCTTTCCAGGATGATGCGGCTTAGTATTTTGCTTGGGATGGACAGGAGCATAATTCCGCGCCAGTTCTTGCATTGACTTAAGTCTCCTTTCTTTGGTAGTTTGAATAAGTATCCTTTCTTCCAATCCTCGGGTACTTTGCCTTCTTTCCACACCTTCTCCAGTAGTGGTGTCATCAAGTCCGCTGTTGTCTCTGGGTCCGTTTTCAATGCTTCTGCTGGGATTCCATCTGGTCCTGCTGCTTTTCCAGATTTCAGCATCTTGATTGCCTTCAGGACTTCTGATTTCGTCGGCGGGTTGATGTTCACTGGTAGCTCTGTCTCCGTTGTTGGTATTGCTGGGCGCGTTGTAGGTGGTGATCGATTTAGGAGTCTTTTGAAGTGTTCAGCCCAGTGTTTCCTCTGCTCCACTTCTTTGTTGAGTGACTTTCCATTGTCATCCTTCACTGGCTTAATTTGTGACGAATTTTTGCCTGAGAGGTACCTAGTTGTTTGGTAGAGTTTTGCGAGGTCTCCTTTGCCTGCAGTTTGTTCTACCTCACTTTCCATGGTTTCATAGTACTTTCTTTTGTCTTCTCTGGCACTCTTCTTTACTCCTTTGTTCAGTGTATTGTAGCTTGCATTCAACTCCTGTTTCTGTTGCTCGTCTGTGCACTGGATAATCTTTTGTTTCACCATCATTCTCTCTTCTATTAGCCTCCAAGTGTCCGTAGTGAGCCACGGTTTGTCCTGTCTCTTCTTTCTGCCTAGAACTTCCATGCAGGTTTGACTCCACACTGTCTTCAAGTTGTTCCAGTGCTTTTCGACACTGACCTCTTCGCCAGTGTTGATTTGTGTCTCGGCTTTGTCTTTTATACTTGCAGTGAAGATGTCCTTTGTGTCCTGGTCCTTCAGTTTTTGAGTGTTGAACTTGGCTTGTGGTCTATCTGCAGCCCCTGATTCTCTGAAAGCTTTTAATTTGAGTTGGATTGTTCCTTGTACGAGGTAGTGGTCTGAGCCAACGTCTGCTCCTCTTCTTGCTTTTGTGTCCAGTAGGCTGCGCCGCAACTTCCTCGAGATTGTGATGAAGTCAATTTGGTTTTTGGTTCGCCCATCTGGTGACACCCATGTAGCCTTGTGG